GTCGGCGCATACGGAGATAACGTTGGTAGTTGCCAGTCGTAGATAGAGAAACTGACTCTTCTCTTTTCTACCTTTAGGATTTACAGTTTATCTTCTATCTTTTGCGCTACCACGGTTATAAAACGCACGATGATACTGATAGTAGAAGATCGCTTAAACAAATTTGACTAACAGTATAAACGATATACAAAAATAAACGTGACTTTTCTATCTTCTTCCTTTTCAAATTCTTACTCTCTCTCTCTCTCTCTCTCTCTCTCTCTCTCTCTCTTGCATATGAACGAGAGTTATCAGTCGATAACGTTATCACTCGTACTCGAGTCAAGTTCATCGTTTTCGATGAAGACTTTTTTTGGCGACTGATTGACGATACTTTTTAGATATCTTAATATTACATACTTCGTTTTCGAATAAAATAGAAATCTAGAGAAGTTCAATAGGTATAGTTTGTTTCTTTCTACGTTCACCGGTCTTAGGGAATGAACATCGCAATTGCATTCCTTGAAAGTCGCTGAATCGAAAGAGCAATCGATTATCGCTCGTGAATCTTGGCAGAGGATCGGCAAGCATGCGCGAGTAAAATACGTTTGTGATGCAATCGCGGATCTACGAATATCTTTACCTTCTCTCTTTCTCTTTCGATAATCTTACTAACGCTATAGTTTCTTCCAGGACTCTCATGGATCCTGCAACGGCAAAGTTAACGTTACAGCGGTTACTGGTTGAGCGCAACTTTAGCATCGGTTTAACCTCATTCCTGACGGTGACGTCAGTTCTCTCGCCTTTCCCTCGACTTCTGGACCTTCCAGCATCTCCCGAGATGTACGAAGCAAGCACCTATTGGCTATTAAAGAGTCTCTTGATTCTCTTTCTCTTTCTTATTTTTCTTATTTTTCTTCTATTTCTTCTTCTTATCCAATCGTCGTTACCACCAATTGATTCGCAAATATTACAAAGTATTCTCTCTTTCAAAGTCCTACCGAGATCATCGGTACGATAATTACGATCGACGAGAATGCCCCGTGATCCTTGTTTGAGTCCAATAATGGCAGCCATTAAGAGGGAAAGTCTATGGGTACGAAACAACAACTATAGGACGTTTCTTCTAGAAACGTGCCGAGTACTAATTGCGCTTACACGTTTTCTTTCTTCTATTTAACTTCTTCTCTCTGTTTCTTAAGCTTGACTCGTCGATGTATACCTACGAGTTAGTTAAAAATTATAATCACGCGATACGCTCGTTTCACCTTGAGAAATATGAACGTGAAAAGATTCATACGTCTTGACAGATTCAAATGTTTCTTTATTTATTCCGTTTCTGAGATATATATCTTATAGTTCTTTATTGCAAAGTAATCGAGCGAACGCGTGATGTACTATAAAACTTTTTTTTTTCATTTCTTTTTCTTTTTCTTTCTCTTTCTCTTTTTCGTTTTCTTTCCACCTTTCTAGCCTAGCAGGTGGGATGGCCCATTGAAAAATGAATCCAACGTCAATACCCCTTAACGAAGGTGGATCTTCTTCAAGGGTCCCTTTACGATCTCAAAGGTTTCCTTTTTTCTACAGAAAAAATTCCTAACTGACCGTGTGCTCGTAACTATCGGGAATGCATACCTACTTAAAAAGCCACGTTTGGTTACGCTATCGACTACGAATCTGCTTTGTAACCGACGCTACTGAAATCGAAATAATACGAGTACCTTTTTCTCGATTATTTTTCTTTTTTCCTTTCTTCGAGAAAGAATTTCTCTCCAACCTTTGGATTTTGACAATATAGAAGTATTATTCATTTTGATTTGTTTATTAACGAATTAGAAAATTTATCGATCATGTTAAAAGTCTCGAGACGTTGTTATCTATATTAAAATTTTATCTCAGTTGCTCGTTAGAACGAATGTCACGTATCTTTGATAGATAAATTGCGTTATTTAAACTGGCTTGGATTAGAAACTACTGGAATTTACAGTGACCAATGAGCACCGTTATATACGACGAATGGCTTTGACATTTTCTACGATACACGTAGCATTGCACTGCTTTATTCTCGACAAATTACACAAATCGAACTTACCAATGTCCAAATTGCGTTATTATGCGTTATTTTTCTATGTAACATATTTGTTGACCGACAACAACTACTGATTATACAACGCGTGCTATGTGTGTCTTTTTTTTTTATCTATTTTCACGTCTTTGTTTTTTAACAAAAAAAAAAAGAAAAAAACTGGAGACAAGAAGAAGAATAAGAAGAAAGAAAAAAGCGTTCTAATACATCGGTAATGATATTCTAATATAATTCTACGAACACTACGATGCGAGCGCCAATGTCTCGGAGAAGAAATTAATGATCTTCTTTTCGAGTAGGCGTGTCCCTAAGAGAAACAGAATTATTTTTCGAGCGCATCCTACGAACGCATCGTACGGGACTGCAGCAGCAGCAGCAGCAGCCTTCGCTCTATTCCGTATGTACGTATAACTATAAACCGATGTCCCAAAAGTTGCATCTCACTGCAATCTCAAATGATACAGCAAACTAAGCATGATTCGCTGCAGTTATTTTATATTTACCTTTTTATCATTTCGTATTTTTGTATAAAACGAAACAAGAAAATCTACGAGTTTTATTTTCATGTTGTTTTATTTTTTCTTACGTATAAAATAAAGTTGATATCACTCTTCGATAAGTAATCAACGTTTTTTAACAAAACGGAATGTTACTAATTTTTGTATCGAACAAGAAGTACCGACTTCAACATCTGGTAACATTTTCTCTCCCTCTGTATCAACATCACGGAATATAACGAGTTAAAGACAGCTGCATCTTCGTACCTCGCATAATAATACTGCAACTCAAAGAAACAACTTGCATTGTTACTCGCATAAATGATATTTACGTTCTTCAATTCGATCGTTAGTACTGTTTTGTAATGAGTTATTTTTGTATGCATTAGAGTATTGGATTGATCGTGACAATTATTACGAGTAAATTATCATCGCATTCTCATCGCATTCTCATCGAATCGAATATATATATATATATATATAATTGCAATAAAAAATGATTTTTCGAAACATCCAAAATCGTGTTATTATATTGAACAAATGTTTAAGACGTTGATTTGAAGTGTCAAAAAAATGGTTCATAAATGAAACGAATAATGTTTCTCTCTCTTTCTCTCTCTCTCTTACTTTGGTTAATTATTTTCAAACGATAAAGCGTCCTGCACAAAAGTGAGTTGCATTAGCCACTGTTAGAAACCAAAGTAAAAGTTATCTAACGCTTTACCTCAACTATACTAGATGCCACATGCTAGTAGTCGATGTTTTTCAAACGGACGGTTTGCCGCCAACGCAAACCGACTGCTTCTTACCCCGGCGTTCAAGTCTCTCATGCGTACTAACGATTCCACAAACATTAGCTCGCGTAGAAGAAATTCCAAGCTTGTGATCCTCGTGCTCTTAAGCTGACGCGCATCATATGACTTTCCTTTTCATATATACACCTTAATTAATGTATTATTTAAATATTCATAGACCTTTATACGTAAAACTATCAAATTTGTATAAAAAATTTTGTAAGAATGAGATTAATCTTGAGACAAAGTGTTTAATTGGGACAACTATGTTGACGAGTATGTATCAAAATAATGAAGATTTTTATATCAGGATAAATTTGTTAATTTATCGTAATCCGGTTTGATTATATATATATTTACATGTATCTATAAAAGTATATAACTATGTAAAATAATCAAGAGAAAGATAATAGGAACTAGTTTTCTAAGAAATGATGATAACGACGACGACAACAACAAGGACGAAATTCATTCGATGTCGTTTATACGAGAAAAATTATATAAAATAACAACGTTATATACGTATTGGAGGATGAATTGAGCATGTGTGTTTGGATGTAGTAGAAACGATCCACGTATAATAGAATGATTTTTGTGTGAATCCGTTGATGTATGCGTCAAGATTTATGGCGTGTACGTGAACTCCGATAAACACGTGGTCGTCAGCAGTTAGCGAGACAACTTCTCGGGAACAAATTTTTGGTGATTTCAAGAAGAAACGCGTCTAACGCGGAGATCGCAAAGACGCTTGCTCGCTCGCTCGTTCGCTCGCTTGTTCGAAAAGCAATATAAATCTTTCGGAGTCGGACAGAACGTTCCAACTTTTTTCGTGGAAATTGTTGTTGAGGGACGCGCGAAAGTGCTTGGAACATCGCTAGGGCAACTCTCAAGAAGACTGCAGCACGAGGGAAGAATGTATGTAAGAAACGTTAAGGTGTGTCGAACTACCAGGTTGGAGACAGTTCTCGATCCTCGCTCTTCTCCTTGTTTTTCCGTAAATTTTAACTTCGAGCGAAATTCTCCTTCGGGATTTATATCGTTCTTTCCAAAGCATTTCGTGTATCAAAACTTCGATACTTCGAGATATGTTTCTTAGATTATACACGTTCGAGGTTTCGCATTTTCTCTCGATGTTTCTTCGCACCGTCACAACAATCGTCCGACCGATTGAACGCGACAAGAAACTTCTATGCAATCTTTGAAATTCGAAACGTCGTTGGGAGAACAACAAGAACATTTTTTATTTCATTACTGACCAAGTTTCTTGCCAATGTACTGCATATATATATAGCAACGTCCTACTTCTTCAAAGCGAATATATTTCAATTTCTCCATTGTTTTCATATCTGTTGCGAATTTGTACATAACAGAAGGCGAGGCAAGGTAAAACGTCATCTTATCGTTCACGTTGCATAGGCTATTTCGTCAATGCGTAAGCGCGTTATCATTCTCTAGGCAAAATGTTCAGTGATTCGGATAATTATTAATCGATCGTATTTGGGCACGTTCTTCATTGTTGTCAGATAGAATCGGTCTATGAACGAATTTGCCACAACGTACGAGTTAGGAATTAAATACTTATACCACAATAAGAAGTTCGAAAAGGAAAGGATTAAGGGTGTTAATGCAATTGAAAGGACTTACCATTTATGAATGCGAGTCAGAAAAGTAAATCGAACAGAAGAATATTCCAAAGGCGTAAAACTTTGGACCGAAGACGTTCGATCTGGTCCGACCTCCGAATGGGAAAGCAACGGGGTAGGTACACTTTCGAAACCAGTTTCTGTCTATGAGCGATAAGTTTATTTCTTAAAGGTTTAGCACAAAACACTGATCGTAGGATAACATTCGCGATAATATCCAATAATAATAATAAGAGCTCTTAGTTGCACTGTTTCACGTACACTCGATCCATTTTGCGATGCATGGAAATAAGGGGATAAGAGAACGAAAGGATCATGCAAGTGACACGTGGTTGTTATGGGTGCGCGTGCGCGTAAAATCCATGGCGCGAAACGTGGATGTTGTTACGATATGAGAAGATGATAATATTAGTTATTTAAGTCGACGAAACGCGTAAAGGAAGTTTCAAACTCGTAGCAAGCGACAAAGTTTTCGGCTGAGATTTACGCGAGTCTCGACGCGCCTTGATAAGAGTTTTTTATCGAGCGTCGAGTCGAGACCGCGCTCGATGTCGCAGCAAATTCATCCTCGCGCGAGGGAACAGGCCTTGGGAAGATACGCGCAAAATTCGGAGGACCACCACCGCCGAATATCTATGACAGAGGTAGCACGACCGTTTCACCAAGAATTCCGCGCGATCCTTAGACTTGCGTTCGCTTCGATCCGCGCGTCTCACCTTGCGGAGAGCGAGTCGGCAGGTCGGCCATGCGACGAGGAGCCACGGGCACAGGTCCACGTTCGCCACGAGTTTTCCCCTCGCCTCTCCTATCCGTTCTTCTCCCACCCTTTATACTACTGCTACCGCCGACAGCACCAGCATCCAACCACCTCCACCACAGCTTCTCTCTCTCTCTCTCTTTTTCGTTTCTTTCGCTGTTGTTAGCCTGCTTCTTCGACCCTTCTCCCTCTACCTCCTACCTCTACCTCTACCGCTCCTTCTACCTCTCCCTCTTTCTTTTATCTTTCCTCGTCTATCTCCTTGGAAGATCTCCCCCCCCCCACTACATCAGCCGCTCTACCACCTTTCCTCCTTACCTTACCTTACCTACCCACAGAAATCGCTCGGCTTCCCTACTTTTCTCTCTCCTAGTCAGGTAAAACACGCAGGTATACGAAAGAGAAAGATAGTACGTTCTACCTCTCTCGTAAGACCCTTTCTGGCCCTTCCGATAGCCACTGTCCCCCCCACGATCAGACCTACAATCGACGGACCCGATCTTATACACACACATACACATACACCCGAGCCAGGCAACATTGCATCTCGGAAAAATACTACTTCTTCTTCTATATTTTTTTCACTAACTATTTTCCCCCTCAATATTTTACAATTAACTTTATATCAATTTATTTGTAAAAATGCTTTCAAATGTCATTGAAAGTCATCACTGAGATAAGACGATCGCAACGAAGATATAAATTTCGAAAGAGTCCGGGTGAAAGGCCGATACCAAGGCGAAAGGAACGATTATATGAAACAACAGACTAAAAGTACTTCTCTCGCTGTTATTTGCCTTTTAAACGAGAGCAATTTTAACAGAGCAAACCGTCAATTCAACTCGTCTCCGTAAACACTTTAGATAAACGAAATCGAAGACTATCACGATCTTACTTCAATCTTCGGTACAACGCGTTTCAACTTTCCTTTCTTTCCTTTTCTTTTTTTTTTATCGAAAGATAAAACTTTATAACGTTTATCTACGTTACGAAGATTATTTGGGATTTAAAAAATGATCTAATAAAAAATAAAGCTGTCTTCGAATGCATGCAGGATGATATTACGTAAGAATCACGTTAAAAGGATGCGAAAATGTGTGTATTAAAGTTTTAACTTTATGAATTCATCCTAATAATTACGAACACTATATACATACAAATAGTTGTTTCTCTCGTCCAAAAATAAAATTCTTAATAAGAAGGTATCATAGGGAATTTGGACATCAAAAAAAGAATTAGAACTTAATTTTGATAAGTTGGACGTTTCGTCCCTTTATTGGGACTTCTTTAGCAACTGGACATTTTATTTTATTGTTATTTTTATATTACGAAATACATGAGACCCATACATTATAAAATATTAGATGTTACATTAATCTCTAAAGTTCAGCGTCTTTTTTCTTTAAGTAGACATACATTTTTCTTTTTATTTATAATATTCAAAACATATACACTTCGTTAAGTCTTAATCCGTTATAATTTGAACACTCAACAAAACTTTTTCAATCTAGACTTGTGTTTATTAATCTAGATATCTTCACTGTTAAGGTGTCCTCTATTACGGTGTTCTATTTATTATAGTTAAATTTAAAAATTCCGTTATAAATGCTGTTTAAATTATTTGTGTTTGTTCTAAAATTAATCGTGTTATTGTTCGTTATATGATACATTTCGCTAATGTTTCTCTTATACCAATTTTCTTCTAAATCTAAAATCGTTGCTGCGTCAAATTAAAAATTTTGTCCTGTTGTAAAATGATGCTCAGCTAACGCGGTGGTATTAGTTTTATTTACATTAGTAGGTTTACAGTCACTTCTATGCTGATCTAATCTTTTTTTGAGTTTCTGTTTTGTTTGTCTTATATAACACTTGTCACATTTATATGGTATTTTATATACTAAGTTCGACYGGTCAAATTTATCTACCTTGTCTTTTAATTTGGTGTAAATAGAATTTATTTTTGTTAGATTATAAAAAACCAACTAATACCACCGCGTTAGCTGAGCATCATTTTACAACAGGACATAATTTTAAATTTGACGCAGCAACGATTTTAGATTTAGAAGAAAATTGGTATAAAAGAAACATTAGCGAAATGTRTCATATAACGAACAATAACACGGTTAATTTTAGAACAGTCACAAATAATTTAAACAACATCTATAACGGAATTTTTAAATTTAACTATAATAAATAAAACACCGTAATAGAGGACACCTTAACAGTGAAGATATCTAGACTAATAAACACTAGTCTAGATTGAAACAGTTTTGTTCAAATTATAACGGACTTAATGAAGTGTAGATGTTTTGAATATTATAAATAAAAAGAAAAATGTATGTCTACTTAAAGAAAAAAGATGCTGAACTTTAGAGATTAAGCTAACATGTAATATTTTATAATGTATGGATCTCATATATTTCGTAATATAAAAATAACAATAAAATAAAATTTCCAGTTGCTGAAGAAGTCCCAATAAAGGGACGAAACGTCCAACTTATCAAAATTAAGTTCTAATTCTTTTTTTGATGTTCAAATTCCCTATGATACCTTCTTATTAAGAACTATATACATAATTCGAAAAGTAAAATTAAAGTATAAAATAAATAATAAATGATCTTACACACATAATAAAACCCCTTGCGGGTATCTTGTCGACAGAGGGGTGGTTTCTCGACCTCAGCAGGTGCCTGACCGTCTCGATAGTTTTATAATACAGTATCCGAAGACCTTCATTTACAAAAAAAAAAGAAAAACGAAAAAAAAATACAAAATAAGCAAGCCGTTGTATTCTTAGTCCACCACGAGTTAGTTCGTCATTGTTAAAACTTCGGCATTGTTCCTTTCAAATGGTCTGACTATTCCTGCGGTATTGTTTGGTACCAAGCGAGCCCACCTCCGCAGGAGGGGGTCTTATAGGATGGACTTTGGCGCGTTAATACGTGTTACAAATCAGGAACAATACTGCAACATTTTGAGAGTAGAAAGCCCTTCGTTGATTCTGCACTTTTACGCATAACTTTGGGTCCTTTTTAGTTGGCAACGCATCCGTTTCTGTTCTCATACATGTGGTAGGACTTAAAAATGAGAATAAGTGCTTGTTTACCCCATGGGTTTTCTATCCATGAGTTTAACGAACATTCTCCTGTCGATTAGATCTTCGAAATCTTTCGAAAAATGTAACAGAATTCTTCCTCCCTTTTAATAAATACGATAAATTTTGTTGCTTTTTGATCTAATGAAATAAGTTCAAATTTAAAGATACTTATAGTTTCATTATACTACTAATACTTTGACATTTTCACACACTTTCTTTTCACTGTAGCAAAATACTGTAATAGCTATCGCACAATTTCGCGAAGAATAAACAGGTGGTTCCATCCGTGCGCGTGGGCCTAAATTTAGCTGCGACATAATCTCTCCTTCCCCTTCTACTTCAACGTTTCTTTTTTCAGCTCTCTCTCCCTCTCTTTCTCTCTCTTTCTTTCTTTTACATAGAACGTGCTAGCTATTAAGTCAGCCACTTTCGCGCTTACATCAAAGACCACTCGTGAAATCGATCGTTAGAAATGATTTTGAGATGATTATTTTCAAGGCTCGTTAATATATTTCGATATTTTATTATGTATTATAAACGTGACTTCAAATCAAAGTGCGATAACGCATTAAGCTTAATCGTATAAAAACATTTATCCCCCGTGCGATTAGAGTCATGGAAACGTACGAGATACGCTCGTGCATTACCGAGCACGGTTATGTAATTACAGACTGCACGTGTGTGCGTCTTTTAGTTTTATTACTCTACGTTGTTTCGAAGAATCCTACGGAGTCAACATATTTCTTAATTTCATTTGTTATCGATAAAGAATTTTTATTAGCCCTTTTTTTTCTTTTTTTTTTTTTTTTTAAATAGATTTATTTTATTCAATCGATTTTATACTACGCGTTCTATTCGACGTTTTCATTGAGAGCTTAACATCGTCGAAGATAAGTAAGAAAGAATGAATGTAAAAAAAAAACATTGAAGTATATCGAAAGCAAAACACAGAGATACAATTGAATTGGACTCGGCGGGGAATTATCTCGCGCCCTTTTCTCGTGACTGCGATTTACCGGCACGAGATGAGCAAGACTTTATTCGCAACCTGTTTCATTCCGTGATGCCAGGGAGAGAAATGCGCCGGGCTCTGCATTCCTTCTGTAACCTCGGGGAGTTTCGCCTTGCCATACGCGAATCAGATAAAACTGGCATGAAGCTTTTATAACTCTGCCGTTCTAAAAGATTTTTCAAGCGCAAACGTTCTAAATTTCCCCGGATATATCGTCGTCTAACGTGACAATGATTTTTCGTTAAGATAAATCGTAATTAAAAAAGATAAGAAATAAAAAAACAAAAAAAACACCAAAAAGAAAAAAGATAAAACCACCGTTGTTCGTGCAATTAATTATCGCGAAACATGAGTTTGTTTTTTTTTCCTTCCAATTTCAATCTTAATCGATTCGCCGGCAAGAAGAACGTGCCACGAGAATACAATAAAGAGTGGCAAAAGTGGCCCGAAAAGGATGCTTTCGCACCGTTGCACGCAGCCAACTCTCTCCCTATGGGACTTATATTAGGCATACCATGGGGCATAGAGAGACTAAAATACAGTCCAGAAGAGAATACCGGTTCGGATGGTACAGTGGCGCCGCATTCGATTTTTTATACTTCAAATGGAAATTTTCGGGTTGGCTCCTCCTCGTTCTTCTTCTTCTTCTTCTTCTTCTTCTTCTTCTTCTTCTTCTTCTTCTCCTTCACATTTCAAGTGGTTTTATTAATATGGACATTCGTTATTATGATTGGGATAGATCATCTAATATTTTCCCAAGTCTTTTAAGTTCTTCAAATTCTAACATTCAATGTTGACTTATCCTCTTCGTTAAACCTTAAGCCTTATTTTCTACAATGAACGAATATAAACCGATCTTCTAGGATAACATAAGATTGGTCTTATAGAACATTATCATAAATTAGTGCTTCCGAGAACTCGTTAATAGTAATCTAAAAGATAAAATTATTTGATTTAATCCATTTGTATATTTTAGACCCATGGCGTCCGTCTTGCTACGTGACTCCAACTGTAATGAATCCCTCGTAATACCTTGGCGAATTACAGCGAGTCATGTCCTCCGACCAAATATATCTTCTAACTAAGCCTTCTGCTACAGGTTCGTGCAAAAGAT